ATTATTAACTGTTGTGTGTCTGCATTTCACCTGAGACAAGATAAGGTATTCCTTTCAGCTGGGTGAACATGCATCCAGCAGGAATTTAACATCTTTACTTCAACCATCTCAGTTTTTTATAAACTTTTAAAGCAGTCAAAATGTTACTAATTTCAAGAGCTATTGCTAGATCATTGGCTTTCAGAAACAACATGTGAGAACCAGTTATACTGATAGTGATTTATTTTGAGCTGTGTCAATGTGTCACTTTTTGTTGGCTGATCAATGTAGGGTCCAATATATGACCTCTGACCAAAGACAAAATAATTTTTGTCCAGTCGTGTCCGACTCTAGGGGGCGGCGCTCATCCCGCTCTTCAAGCCATAGAGCCAGCGTTTGTCCGAAGACAATCTTTCCGTGGTCACATGGCCAGTGTGATTTAGACACGGAACGCTGTAGGGTCCAATATATGACCTCGGACCAAAGACAGAATTGTTCTAGAGGCTCAGTTGTGTGTGAGGTCCAAAGCTCTAAACAGAGAAGTGTGTGCCCTTCATTCCAACAAGTTGCTCTTTGTTAATATGAGTTATCTTCCTTCTTCTGTTTCATCATTTTTCAGAATGTGTAGAGGCTACTGTATTGTTCAAGAATAAGCTAACAAGCAAATATTGTACCAGGCTTCCTCTGTCCTTGCGGGAAAGGTGGGAGACATGAAAAGAAACATCGATCAAGCTGCCAAGAGGAACAAACTGGAGTCTCTTAATAAAAGAGAGTACAGAGCTCCAGTGTATTTCAAAGCTACACAGCTACCATTTCTGCCATAAATCTTTATCATGCTATTACCTAGCCTTAATGTAACATTATTTTCTTACTATGGTAAGTGTACTAATTGGAAATGGGTCATTGCTTTTCTTTTACTGTTCATGAAAACATTTTAAAAAGGTATGTACTTAACTGAAAACACCTCTCTTTTTTTAAAGGCCAGTTAATTTATGAAGAATTGTGTTGTGTCTGAACTGGACTTTAATTTTTAAGGAAGTGGTCCAAGTATTTAATGATCTGTTTAGCTGGACAGAGGAACTGTTATTCATGTTGTGTTGGAAAGGACTCATGTTTGGAACACAGAGCTGTCAGGGGGAGCCATGCAGCTGACAAAGGGCAGAAGTGTGGTTTATAGGCAAGCCTGGTTCTCCCTGAGGGCAAGAAATGTCAGCTGCCTGGAAAATGGGACATGAAGGAATTCTACTTTACCAAGTTTGTATGGACTTGGAACAATGGACCAGTATGGAAAAAGATGTTGATTTTGCTGACCTGTGAAGGTTGCTGCCCTAATGTAGCCTGGGCTGCTCCGTGTGCATAGATAAGGCCTGTGATTCTGTCAGTTCCTGAAAACAGTAGGGCAAGTTTCTTAACCTTCCCCACAACATGGCATGTGCCAGTTGACAGTCCCCTTTTGGAAGGTAGCTGGGGTAATGAGAACAGGAACTAGTCAGAAGGCAGGAAACCTAAGGGTGACAAGGGAACAAAAAGCTACTGCAAGTCCTGTTTGAAAGGACTCAAATGTTTGGACTGCAAGGTTCACAAGGGGAACCATGCAATGGGCAAAGGGCATGGGTGTCAAGGAAAGAAAAAGCTTCTAAGAGAAAGGCAAGCTGCTGCCTTCAGTCTCTTCTTTTTGGAGCCTCATGGCACAGTGGTTAAATTGCAGTACTGCAGTCAAGACTATGCTCACAATCTGAGTTTGATTCCAGCAGGCTCATGTACGTAGCTCTCCCAGCCTTCCAAGGCCAGCCAATTGAGCACCCAACTCATTGCAGGTGGGAGCGATTTGTAGCCTGCATAATTAAATTCTAAACCACCCAGAGTGTGCTTTAAGTGCTGTGGAGTGGCAGCACACTGCTTTGTTTGGCTTTAGACTTTGATTTCCGGTTTTCTCTGCTTGGAAGTCTTTGAGTCTCACTTATTTTATGGGGAAGGAATTTTTTTCTCCTCCTCTTCCCAGGTTCTTTACCCATCTTTCCCCTAGCTCTGGGAATGCTTTTGGTCTTATTTCAAGGCTAAATGCTTGACCTCTAACCTTTTCTTTGCCTTTCCATTATTTCTCTCCTCTTTGAGAGACTTTTTGCAGTTTCCCCTGGATTTGTTCTTCACTTGGACCTCTCCTGGATCCCTCATCTGGGATCTCCTCTGATTTTTGACCAGACCTGCTGGAATCAGTTGCCCAGATTTCTGTGGCACACTAGTTAGATACAAGATTTCTTTTTCTCTTAATCTTTTCCCCATTTGTTAACGTTTTCTGTTTTCTAATAGTAATTTTCCTGCCAAAATTCATCTTGTCATGAATTTTTGGACTTTAAAGTTCTTCACACTGGTACACATCTGATGATGTGGTCCAGATCCACGAAAGCTCACGCATTTATTGTATGAAGATTTTTTAGTGTTCTATAAAGGTATTGCCTACTCTTGCATTTGTATTTTGTATTGACTACATGGCTCCCTTTTATATAAATGGAATTATGAGGATAACAAGAAGTAGCTGTAGCTCCCCATTCCAAGACACACAGAGTCCCAAATCAGTGGAGAAGGATTGCAACCGCTAGGTAATAGTATTTTGACTTTAATCTGACCCCAGTTGGCTAAACCAAGTGAGTTTACTAAATTATCAATGATGTACTTCCACTATCTAAACAGGGATACTGATATTTGTGCAGCTACTGTTTTGCTCACATACCAGGACTGTTGTTAGAGGAAGCAGAAGCTGAGTTGCAGTATGTCATCTATTCTGAAAGGGTTGTTCTTCTTTAGGTTTCAAGCTACCCATTCCTTCCAAAATGGACATTCCATTCCCTCCCATCTGCTCTTGTGTTCTATTTTTCTTTCTTCACTTTCTTGCTGCATTCTGTAGCTACTGAGCATGCTCAGTCCTCCTTTATGGGGTTATTTATTTTACAGGGTGTTTTATGGCTTGCTGTCTCCTTAGGGGTTTTTAAAAGTTGTATTTTGTTTTGTTTTTTGGTGTTTCTGCAAACAGTAGCGTTCTGCCAAGCACACTAATACCTCCCACTTGTTTCTCAGTGGGCCCTTTTGGCTGTAATATTTTCAGTTCTCTCACCACGTAAGTTCCTTATTACAAGGGTGTAGATAAAAGTCCAGACCAGCAAGCCTTCTAAGTTTAGAAGTTTCAGCATTTTACTGATGCTATAAAAAGTGGCATTAACCTAAAGGAGAAACTCCAAACTGATCAAGAAGCCATCAGTAGGTCTGCTTTCATCATTTTTCAGTAGCTTGCTAGCCTACATAAACTACTTGTGAAAACTGAATTATTAAAAACCTCCTGTTGTGGATTCCAGATTTTCATTGTTATGCCTCAGAAGCTGGATCACTTCTAATTACCTTGAGTAAACTGTCATGTTTAAAAGTACAATGACAGTTAAGATCTTTCCCCCTTCATCAAATATATAGTTGCATACAAATTCTCCCATGTTCTACATATGATACAGTGGTGCCTCGCTTAACGATTACATCATTAAACGACAGATCCGCTTTACGATGGTTTTTTTGCCATCACTATTGCGTTCACAAAACGAAGTTCCTATGGGGAAAATTTGCTTCAAGACAATTGGTTCCTTGCTTCGGGAACTGATTCTTCATGTTATGACAATCTAAAAACAGCTGATCGTCGGGTTTCAAAATGGCTCCCTGCTGTGTTAAGGATGGATTCCTTGCTATACAGGCACCAGAAAATGGCCGCCCTATAGAGGATCTTTGCTGCACGATGAGGTATTTCGCCCATTGGAACGCATTGAACGGTTTTCAATGCATTTCAATGGGTTTTTTAATTTCGCTTGCCAACGATTTCACTTAACAGCGATTTTAACAGAACGCATTATCGTCATCAAGCGAGGCACCACTGTACAGTGCAAATATTCAGTTTGCCACAAAGACTATGTTAATAGAACCACTGCAGATTTTAACCTGCTCCAGAAATAAAAAGTCTGTAAGTGCCAAGGGCAGTCCAAGATATTTTGTTGCTTCTGGTGAAAAACAAAATGGCTCTTCATCTCTATGCCTTGAATGGAATTCAGCACGTGATTTTTTTTCAACACTGGCAATGGAAGAGTGTCCTGAACTATAGCCAAGACTACAAACTATTTTGTGAGGAGAGGAACAAGGACAGGTTGTGTGTTTCCCAAGAAAAAGAAACAATTGGGTAATCCAAGAGGAAGGAACAATGAGGCAGCTGCTCCAGACCATCTTGTACTTGCAAGCAGTGGCATCACTTTCTGTGGGTAGGGTTGGCTTTGGTAATCGTTGCAACAATAGCTGGAAAATTTGTGGCCAAACTTTTAGGATCTAATGGTGGAATGAAATGATTGTTCTCATATACATTTGTGGTTCACTAGAAAATCCATTTAGTCCAAAGAGATTAGAAGCAAAAGAATTGGACATAGAGGCTTTTGACTTGAGAAGAGTTTTAAATGAAGGTAATAGGAAAATAGGAAGACTTGATGTGAAGTCAATTGGCTCAGTAACAGAAGCCATGCTTTTAGTATACAAGACCTGAATAGGGCTATTAATGATAGGACATGTTGGGGGTCACAAACCTATATATTTTATAAGGTAGTTGCTGCATTTGAGAGAATCTGTCTCACAATTTATCATAGTCATCTGCTGTTTTAAACTTAGTTTCTAAAACACACAAAAAATCTAATAATTTGTTCTGTTTGATGCTGAAATGGAAGGCAGCATTTCTAACTAAAATCATACCTGATCTGTCACTTTTCTCTGTTTTAACAATACTGTAAATCTTGATCTCTTAAATCATCAGCAGTAAGTTGCAAGATAACCCCTTACTAGGGCTGCCATTGATGTTAATGCTGGTGCAAGCTTAGCATTTATATAACTGATTACTTCAGTCTGTGCTGTAGAATATGCAGTTTGATCAATAGTTATGCATCTGGACACATCTACTTTGCATGGTGTATAGATTCATTTGGTACAGACCCATGGAGTTGGGATTACACAGAAGTAACTTTAATAGAACATATACCAGCAACACAGTGGTAAGATTACTTCAAGAATGTAGTATACTGTAATTTAGAACTTGTGTCCAAAAGAAATTGGTCTTTTGCAGGAAGCGATGGTACTCCAATGACTCCTGATTTTATTTCTGTTCATTTCAGTTGATTTCAAAGGCAGTTCAGTCGGTGGGTATTGTCTGAGATTTCACTTAAATAAAGGAGAGTAATGCAGTTTGAGATTATTTCCATTTGATTTCCTAGCTACTGTTAAGTCTTGTTACTCTACTTTCATAGACACACATTTGGCTATAGCAATTCTGAATTAAATTCCATTGAATGACTCTGCAGTGGTATGACAAATTATACGAAATATGCCACTCTCATTAGACATTGGCTTGAGTCCTATAACTTGTAATGGACATGTTAGTAATAGCTAATCAGGAATCTAACATTGTAACTGCAAAGGGACTTAATGGGCCATAATGCCTGATATTCTTCACTACATTATGGCTTTTCAATCTTACTGTACTGAAACAAGATAACTAGTTGGGTACACATGTCATCATTTTCATCCCACTGTCTCTGTGCTCCTTGATTATTTTCTTTGACAAGATTCCTGGCAGACTATCCTTATCTCAGAGTCCCGCTCTCCCTTTTAGTTTTAGTTTCTTAATTATGTGCTGTCACTGACAAATGGGTGCTTAAAAGATGTCTTAGTATTTACATACTCTTTTGTCACCTTTCTTAACTTTGCTGTCCGGATGGAAGACACCTAATAATTACAATAGTAGTACCTCAGAGAAGTTATGTCAGCTTTGTGCATACCATTAATGCATTAATGTGTCAAAACAGCAGTGAATGACACAGCTCGAGGCAGTCTTAAAAGCTACTAATGGTAGCCCCACTCCAAGGAATTGATTTGTAAGCAACCCTAAAGCTATAAAACTTCCTTCCTGATCTGCGGCATCACATGCTTTGTATTTGCCAGCCACCTCATTTTTAGTAGATAGCTGACAGCTGTTTGAATAAGAGAACTATCTACAAAGAAAACATATTTCATATTACCCTGTTAGACAATTATTAATGAGAGGTAGTGAAGTAGCAGAATTCTGGAAATAATGTTTTTTTGCCGAGCGTCTGAATTCTGTTGTTAGATATTCAGTGGCAAATGCATTAAATGTATATAACTAGTTGGATAGCTCACAGAGTTGAAGCCCTTTGCTGGTTTGGAGTTTGATTCTACACTGTGACTTCCGAGGGGAGAGCTAGACTCTGTGGTCTTGGAGAAGTACATGCTCTCAGAACACACCCCAAACAAGGGACTAGTGGGTCGCTTCTGATTACATTATACCTAGAAAACTTTGAGAAGAGTCGCCATCCTTCAGAACTGACTTAATGGCATGCAATTATTATTATTAATTGTGTAATTTGCTTCTGTACTTTTTCAATTTATTGGAGCCCTTAACAACAATTCTTTAAAAGAGCAACACAAGTCATCTGTAATGACAATAATACCTCACAGAGTTCAAGAGACTCAGGTAATTCAATTGAACCTGCATGGGTTTCTGAACATGAACAGCAAATTTTACTACTGTAAATAATTTGGTCCATAGCTAATGTGCAGTCCCAACAGGAATAGACCCATGCAGACAACTGCTGATTGGTGTATCGACACTTATGCAATTCATATTAATCCAGTAGATCTAATCTAGTTAAAATTGCCAATTTGAGTGCATTACAGTCAGAAAGTAACAGAATTAATTTTATCACTATTGTCAGATACCCTAATTTTGCAAACGGTTTCTTTCTCAGGAAGTCATAAATGGGATGGCACAATAAATAGTGGAAAACTCTTCTTCAGCTTTGCACAAACTTATTTTATGCATATAAAATATCATTGCATCTTTAATTATTGTGGCAAAGGTCAGAGAAAGGGTCAGTCTTACAGAAGAGACAACAAAGGTTCAGGACACATGGCATTCCCCATTATTGGTAAAATTTAATTGTAAACCAATCTATTGGCAATTTGCAGCCCTTTTCATGGTTCCTAGAAACCCAGTGCCCTGCATGTTGGTAGGAGTGGCATTGCCTCACTCTGGATGTTAGTAGGACTGGCTATGCTACAAGTAGTGTAGCATAGAACATGACAGGTGGAATGCTACATGATAATCAGAAGACCAAGAAGGGAAATGTACTAAGAATAGCAGTATAGCAATCACAAGTACCATCTCAAGCCCAAAGACACGTAAGAACCTTGAGGTAGGGTGATAGGGAGAAAGCCAGTACATCATCCAAAATGTTTGTGGCCTACAGAGCGTAAATTCTCTATCATTCTTTCTTTTATCTCATTTAGACAGCAGTCTGACTTTTTTTGTTCTCTTCAGACACATACTTTGTATCATCTTTTAGTAGATGAAGTGGGTGGGGAACGTGTTAGCGTTTCTTAGCGCAAATCGCGGTTTTAGCAGAGTAATTCGCAGTCCAGAAATAACTTATGCACATTCCAGCAGCATTTCCTCCACCAACGTATATTTACAGAATATTTAAAGCAATCTGGCAGCATAACGTGTAGCAGTCAACTCAAGCAGGAAGATACAATTGACTGTACAACTCACACATATATACATATACAGAAACAATCAGATTACATGTTGCATCATCCCTGAGTTGCATCATCCATGAGTTGCATCGGCACTGCTGAGTCATCATGACTCAGTTTTAACACATCTGTTCATTATGGAGTCTCATTAATATACTCCATTCTGCTCAGGCCTGTAATTTTCCTTGACAGAACAGGAGATCAGCTTTTGCCATATTCAGAAAACATTATGTCCTCCTTTTCACGCACATACACATACATTCGCAGGCAGGAACAGTGTTCTCTAGACAGCTGGGTCACATCGGTTTTCAGAGCCTGGAATGTTCCAGCAGTAGAAAGGCTGGAATGGAAGGGTTTAAGTAGCCTTCACCCCCAGAGGTCCAACCTCAAACAGGTGCAAGCATTTGAACCATATCTCAAGATGTAGTTGAGGCAGTTCCATTCCTGAGGATTCCCTCCTCAGAGAATCAAGTGTTTTCCACTTTGTATATTTCTGTAGGCTATATATACATTTGCCCTAAAACACTTAAAGTATTTAATATCCAAATACATAGAGGTCTTCTTGATATCCATGTCAAATTTCACACAGCTATGGTTGAAGGAGAGAGGCAATTTTACTATTATAGATGGCCAATCAGAATTTAAAAGTGTTGGCGGGAAAAAAAAATCCTGATGTGAGTAGATACAGTGGTGCCTCGCTTGACGAGGATAATTCATTCTGTTCAAATCGCTGTTAAGCGAAATCTTCGTCAAGCAAAACGAAAAAGCCCATTGAAATGCATTGAAAACCGCTTCAATGCATTCCAGTGGGCAAAATACCTCAGCGTCCAGCGAAGATCCTCCATAGGGTGGCTATTTCCGATGCCTGTAAAACAAGGAATCTGTCCTAAAACACAGCGGGGAGCCATTTTAAACTGTGGGCAACCATTTTGAAGACCCGACGATCAGCTGTAAAGATCGTCGCTAAGCGAAAAATTGGTTCCCAAAGCAGGGAACCGATCGTTGTTAAGTGATTTTTGCCTATTAAAACATTGAGGTAATCATCAAGCGAGGCACCACTGTATTGGAAAATTGTTCCAAGCAATGCTCTTCCATTTTATAGTCAAAGAGTTTAGGTTAATGATATCCCTTTACAAATCCCTAAAAACATGCACAACTTATTCACAAGTGTTTTTATGTCTCGCTGTGCTGTGTCTTGTTCCAGAAATGTTGAAATATCCTGCTGTTTGGACATACTGTTTCGTAACTACTGTTATGTGACTTTTTTTTAAAAAAAAATGTCTATAATCTATATTTTTAAGGCACTTCAGTATGTGCTACAGACTTTTTATTTTCATCTGCCCTGTTTTGCCAAAGGAGGTTAAAAGTACGTCTTGTAGTATGTAGGGTAGCTTTGATTGTTGTAGTAGACTTCATAGTGTACTTGAAGATAGTGTACTGATGTTTTCTATATTCAAAGTAAGAAATATCTTCTCAGCTGTGATTCTAAGCCTGCATATTTGAAAGTCCAAAGTCAAGGGGGCTGTACCAGCTTTGTCCACCTTCCAGTTGGAAATAACCAATGTGAAAAAATATCTTTTGGTATCTGTGCCTGCTTCACAGGTGCAGACAGACGTCATTTATAGGTAAATGATGTCTGTCTTCCCCTCTCATAGGAAACCCATAGGAACTCCAACCAGGAGACACTTTCTTTGCCCCCTACTACTCTTGGATGCCTGAGAAATAGGTTTCACTTTCATTTCTTCCTTTCACAGACAGAAACCTAGCTGTTTGTTTTCTAATCTGTAGGAGTAAATTGGTCTCTAAATATTAGGAATTATTATTACAGATATTTGGAAATATCAGATTTGGACTTGGATATATTTCGTATGATCCGAATTTACTGGTGAACTATTTGGTGAATATTTCCAAATACAAATGCATACTCCTAATTCTGAACATACATATGGGCCTAAAAGCAAAATATCACATGTGCAAAATTCTCAGGGTCAGTCCATTAGTGTGGTAAAGCTAACATCTTCTTTCAATTGGTCTTCTTAACCTGATAAGCATCTTGCTTCCTAACCATGGCAATGTAATAATTACATTATGGAACTATTTGGTATTTGGCTTTCATGGGCCAATATCTCAAGAGATAAATCCAGTTTTGGTTTTTCTCTTCTGTTTTGTTTTGTTCTGTTTTGGTTTCTGTTTTTTTCCCCCAAGAGAGTATGTCTGCTAACTGCTAACATTGTAGATCTGGGCTGGCACGTAGAATAAATTCCTTCTCTGAGGTTGCTTTGTTTCAATCTGCAGATACAGTTGAATTATTGTTCAGATGCTACGCTTCATATTCATTTTAGGAGGCAAAAATGTGCTTGAAATTTAATTGTTAAAATCAAATTAAAAATGCTAATTATTCTTCCTCTATTCTCTTGATGATATGTGTGCTGACTGAAAAGAGTGTGACTTTGTCATTAAAGAAGTGTCATTACTTGAATATATGTTCTGGAGTCAAAAATCTGCAATGAATTGACTAGCGCAGAGGAGAAAGTAAATGGTGGAATTAATGTGGGCAATGAGATTTCTTTTTTGTATTTCAAAAATTGCTGACAGCTTGTAGATTCTTA